CACCAAGACCTGCCCGCCGGTGGATGTCCACCTCTCCTGCCCAGTGCTGCCACTGCCACGAGCATGGACCTGGACGCCAGGGTCCCGGTGCAGGAATCGGTGAGCAGGGCACACGTTGGATGTGGACACGGAGGTCCCTTTTGGACCAGAGCGTTGGTGCTGTGGAGTGTGAGGAGCCCTTGGTAGGGCTGGGCTTGTTGAGGGACCCCCAGGCAGCCTCATCATTGCTGATCTCTGCTGCACGCTTTCCGCGTCTGGCATCGTATAGCCTACGTATGGCCCTATAACTCCTCCCCTCTCCTGCTTCCCCTCCGCAGATGGGAGTGCAGGGGCTGCTCCATTAGTCTGGGCTCCCTGATCTTGTGGAGACCTTCAGTGATCTGTGCGGTGGGTGCAAAGGAGTCACCCCCTCATTGCCAGGCTCACGTGGGTCATGGGTTCGGAGTTTGGGGCGTCACGGCGTTCCCAGACTCCCTCGTTCTGACACAGTGATTTAACACAGCTCCTTGCCTTCCAGCTCCCCAAAAACCTGGAGCAAGAGAGTCCCCAGCTGCCTCCGCCTGGGAGCACGGTCCATGATGGAGTGAGCAATGGGCACGGCAGAGAGGGGCATCTCCCACACCCTGTCGAGACTGTGCAGGCAGCAGCGGGGACCCCCGGGACAGGCATTTGGCTGCACCCCCCAAGTGGGGCCAGGACTGGCTGAGCCGCCAGCAGCACCCGGTGTGTGTGGACAACGGGTGTGTCGGGAATGCCAACCACCTGCACCGCGGCATGCCAGGCTTGGGGCTGGGCAGGTCTCTTCCGCCGAGGGATGCGGTTGCTGCTCGCAGCCCTGAGCAGCCCAGGAATGAGCCTGAAGAGGACTTCTACCTCTCCACTGAGTTGCCCTCAAGGCCAGAGGAGACTGCTCGCAGCGGGGGGCCACAGCCCCCAGACTCGCTGCCAAAAAACCAGCCTGTGCCCGGCTCCGAGCACAACGAGGCACCGGGCAGCTTCGTGGATGTGCGCAGCCCCCTCCTCATACAGCAGCAGTTCGATGCGGAGCAGAAGCGAGTCGAGATGCTGCAAGAGCCTGGAGGAGATGGAGGTGGGTTTCCTTCCTGGCAGAGCCACGTAGCCGCCGTGCAGCTGAGCTGACGGGGAGCAGGGCTGAATGTGCTGCCCGATGCCCCTCGCTACAAGAAGGACATTGAGGTGCCGGAACGTGTCCAGAGAAGGGCAACTAAGTGGTGAAGGGTCTGGAGCACAAGTCTGGTGAGGAACGGCTGAGGGAACTGGGGTTGTTGAGCCTGGAGAAGAGGAGGCTGAGGGGAGACTTGATGGCTCTCTACAACTCCCT